CTTTAGGACCAGACCCTGGTCTTTTCCCAGTATGTTTAGGACCAGACCCTGGTCTTGTCCCAGTATGTTTAGGACCATACTCTGGTCTTGTCCCAGTATGTTTAGGACCAGACTCTGGTCTTGTTCCAGTATGTTTAGGACCAGACCCTAGTCTTGTCCCAGTATGTTTAGGACCATCTGCCTGGACAGGGGTATTTAGATGGACGCGATTGCTTAATAAAACTAGGTTGGATTATTATAAGTGTGTACATGATGTGGTTATATATGTGTTGGCATGATAAAAAATGTATGTTTTAATCACCAAGTAATCTACAGACTCTCAGCAAAACGTGAATAATCAGGATTTCTTTTCCAAAGAAAACGATGGCAGATTCCTTACCAGGCTGACTTACATGCACTTACTCCGACAACTAGATAGCAAATTGATGTTTAGACTAGCCTATCACAATATCAACACGCATCTTAAATGTCAATACCATCGGTGACGCATCTTTGTCGATAGTTGCCGTGACATATACCGATTTAAAGATACCGATGTACTTGTTAAAACAGGCCCTGTCTTGTAAATAGGTATTAGATATTACTGCTACACAGCGACGGAACACGAATTTATCATGTTCACCGGCTCGCGCTATATATAACACATATTGGATGTTATTAAACTTGGTTTCAAAAGTTTTTTTTATGAAATACTATCATGTAGCTGATATTTAGATGCCAGATTGTGATATCATCCCGTAGAATTCTTCTCCGGTCTCAGCAAGTATTGAATATTTCTCTAGTTTTAAAAGAATAATTTCTATAAACAAAAACATGAACCAACCATTCCCGTAGATTTTTTACGTGGCCTGTTTCTCACGTTTTTTGTAGAGTCAATAAATCACACTCTCTGACGTCATCACATAACCAGTCTGTCGCTAAAAGCAGATCCGCTGTTGACGTCACAATACCAGTCGTCTCCAATTTTATGTTACTATTGTATTTTACTTTTGAATTGTATATTGAGTATTCTGTTACAGTAAGCAGTGACTTTCAGCTGAATACACGCCGATACCGAACTAATGGCATCACATACATTTATCAGTACTTAAAATGAGGCGCATGCTTTCTTAATACTTTAATATGATCTCTTTTTGCGGACATTTTACAATAACGCAGACACAGGCCTCATCTCCATGATTATATAACCACATGGAACACTACAGAAACATAGTTATAACCCTGGTGTCAGACGTCCTCACTAAGGATACAGAGGCTGTAGGCAGCAGAACAATAAATATACAAAGTCATAGAAGACAGGCATGACTCATAAACGATCTCCTTCGACATGTCTTTAACCACAGTTTGCTAGGTCTGTATTTCTGTGTAATACATGTACACATTGATAGATTCTACTCGCATTGGCATTGAAGTACTAGCATCTGAACTAAAACACCAAAATGGACATTATATTTATCTACTGTTGGACAAATGCGTCACTGGCAATGGGTTAGATTCAACAATTGTGTGAATTCGGAAAATTCCTGACAGGGTGCGAAACTGCTAATTCGTTGTTAATTGTGTGACAGTGGAGGGAGGATGATTGAACACCATGATCCGTTCTAAAAACTGTAACACATTCTCGTTTTCAATTAAAGCATGGTCCCAACAGAATATTAATACTAGTTTAAACCATCAATTCCAAAGATTGACAATCCTAATTGCCTTGTGAAAATGAAATAAATCTGTTGATTATCTGTTTTCAGAAGAATTTGCTGACGGGTTGACACGCAATATGCTGGCAGTGATTAATTTTACTGACAAATTTTCAGTAACACATTTAGATAACAGACGTACACGATGCAGCAGTACTCTTACAATATTTAATATTAGCTAGTTAGATCGGTGTTCTACACGCTCCGACGTGCCATACGCATGTTGAATATTGCACCGTATGTTTTAATGTTGATCACGTGAGTAACATTCATTGGGTTTGTATCAGATTTTGTTGAGAAAGTTATGTACTGTAAAACCCTTAATTATCAAAGGGTGTTTTTTTTCGTGGAACCTAAATCCACGAATTCTGTATCCGATAGTAATTGATATGGATGTTAATACTGGTGGATTGCTTTATAGGATAAGCAAAACTAAATAGTTTTAATTTACTGCTGCTTAGAAACTGAATCATAATGTTGATCACAACATTCACGGATGACATGATCATGTCGTATACATCACCATCCATATTATTAGCGAACAGGGACTAACCTAAAGCGGCTATTAACTTAGATTTCAACATCGCGAATTGGAGAATTCGGCTATGAATGATAAGATATATCCGTAATAAAGCGATACACGCGCATATAACGTCAAATTTGTTGTTTTTGTACATATTTTTGGCGTCGGAACATTGTTTATCTTGACTATTGTTTATAAACATGTTCACGCTCGGTTTATTACGAAGAAAGCCGAGTGGGTCACATGGTTTGTCACGTGAAGAAGTCATTTACTTCCGCCGCAAAGAAAAAATGGATTACAAGGAAAGTGTAAACAAACGCACATGTCTTATGATTCTAGAGTGTTATAATATATAATTATTAACAATCAATCTTAGTAATTCGTTTTGTTTAGGCTTATCGTGCAAGAATTACATATATGTCATTCGCGGGCGCTTAACTAGTAGGGCCCCAAATGGGGTAATTACAATCGGAAAATAAAAAAATAATTGTGCAGAAATGCACAGGAATTGAAACTTTGTCTGTACACATTAATATATATTGTTTACCATTTAACATGTGTCTATGTGTTTATTATGAAGGTTATGTTTATCACTACGGTCGTTATTTTCACATTAACACCAGTACCGTCATATTTTTACACTTAGAACGAATACCCGCAATTGGGCCCCACCTTGCAGTCAACAACAAACACACGTTGTCGATAGTAAATTCAAGCGAATAACACAACTATTTTCATTCAGCATTTATCAGATAACACTTTTAGTAGTGTTGTTCATAACACATTAAGCTAACCAGTCAAGCAGCAGCTTCGCAAATTCCGAATCCGTATTCAGTCCAAGATCTTCCTTCATCTTTCGCCATCTATCGATCTCCTGTCTAATATAAATTCTTGCCTGTCCTCTTTTCTGGTCTGACTCCTTCCTCTTATGCTTTCTGGCGCTTTCTGTAAGGTAACTTTTAGGTCCGCGTCGCCTTTTCGTATTTGCGTCCGCCATATCGCTTTATTCTAGGCTTATACGCATGTGCAGCATCAGGGTTACGAGCGGTAATATATGAATTAGATCAAGTTTACATTCCTAATTTTTTAAGATATCAATAAAAAAATTGTTGCAGTGACTTTTAATTTTAGTAATTAACAGAAAGTCTTAGATTTGTAACACACTATGAAAATAGAACGTTTTATATCGTGTTTTTAAACATTATAGTCGCTTTAAGGTATTTCATGTCATCGGAGATGATGTTATCCATGTTTTTATTTAATGTTTGTTTTGTTTTTAGGAAGCGGCGCTGTTTGTTATGCCACAGAGAACGGATGCAGGGAGATACAGTACTCGAACGCCCCGATGTATCTGATATAGCTCCCGTGGATAGAACGTTACTTGGGGAGCGTTCGATACAGCAAATTCTTCAGAATATACTAAGCTAGTGCCGAGTTACAGGTGTCAGCTCACTGTGTGTGCCGAGATCACTGAATAGACAAACACCCCCAATTACACCATGATGGTACAAGCGTGGCAACACGAAGGTCTGATGCTATCACCACGGGATTCCTAGGAAACACTCTGATCTATTGTATGTATGTACGTGTCGGCGAGCTCTGTCATATACATGTTTGTCAGAATAGTTTAAAAATAAATTTATTCTAGATCTTACTTTTTCGTTGGGGTTGAGACTGAACGTGGTGTCTTATCAGTCATAAACCATTGATAATGAAAATTGACACCTGTATTGCCGTTTCAGGCTAACATCATGGAGAACGATGACTAACGATGGATTAACCAAATTATTGCGGTCCCTCACTCAGCAATGGAGAATCCCGGTCACTCAGCAGCAATATACATCACAAATGCTACAGTCGCCGTAATGGAGAGAGGTAACGCTAGACAACGCTTCGATAACAGGAACTAACATTTACGCTTTTATCATATCTAATGACAAACATCATGGTTAGAACATTTCAATTTCTTATTTGATATATTTATTTTTTTTTGTGGAGGGATGCTTCCACAGTCGTCCAAATAGAAATATTGCTTCATTTGTGAGTTAGATAATTATATATGCTGCTTATCATGTTCACTGTTCATTAGGTTCAAGGGGTCATGGTAATGTCACATATCAGGTAAATATCCTAACAATAGAGCGATAGTATTTAATAGCGTTCTTTAAAAAGACAATTGTTTACATGGAAGGTCAAAAGTCATAGTTGAGAACTGAGAATCCAACGGAACCAGTCGTTCTGATGGAAGCGATATCTCCAGCAGCCAGAAAGCTTGATATCTGTTTATTAAACTGGCAAGTGTTTCAGAGTAGGACACGATCTGTTTAACGTTGATAGACGTGTTGTATGTAGAGTGAAAGTGTAGCTCTTCATCTCTGGGTTTTTAGAGAGATGTTATCATCGTTCGGTCGATAGAAAACACGATTTCTATGCACGTCCCCTCGCGTGTATGGGATCAGGTTTACCGCTAATACTGACTCCTGTTGAATACAGCAATGGAATTTAACACACGAGTTTGCATAGATGAAGCCTTATCTGTGTGGACGTAATACGCTGGAACAACACTTGACGTTTGACGCTAAGCTTATTCTGTTGGTCTCTAAGTAAGCTCTCACAGTTCTACAGCGCTGAGTAATCTTCTCTCTGAAGCTTAAATCACACTATAAAGCAGTAATAGTCAGCACTCTCACAGCACGTGAGTCTTTAACCATACCATTCATCACATGTGACTGACTTACGATCATCATTGTTTTTACAGACGAGAGCATCATGGTGTGGTCTGGCTTAAATGCGTAGAAAATGGCATCAACTAGGCGGCACTTGTTCACACCTCTCGAAATCCTGATGACGGCGTTAGATTGGATATGAAACAAAACCAGATATAGATCAAATGTGTTGATGTGTCTTCCAGATTTAAACAGGTGTGATAGATAACAGATCACCATTCCAATTCTTTCTCACATTAATTCCTGGTCCCTTAAAGGTACGATTGCGGCATTGCGAAAGCACACAAATGAATTAGTTGCGGTACTCTACGGCCGGTGAATACAAAATTTTGTGGCGGTACTCTACGGCCGGTGAATACAAAAATTTGTGACAGGACTCTACGGCCGGTGAATACAAAATTTTGTGGCAGTTTTCTACGGTCGGTGAATACAAAATTTGGTCGCGGTACTGTACTGCCAGTGATTGCAGAATTTTGTGGCGGTACGGTATAGAATCATGATACATTGAAGCATACTATAATTTCCTGACAGTTCTTCTCGGGTTTCAGTATTCTGTGGAAGTACGAAACTTATCTACAATTATCAGAATGGCGTCGGACACTGAAATAACAAAGGAAAAGATTATTGTTGATCCTCTGTCCTTGATAGGAGGAGGCGGGGCAGAGTACAACAAAGGAAGGCGGAGAAGCACCATCCATTCGTACACTCTAACAAACTACCATACCCTTCCTCACGACCCCGCCACCATGAAGGCAGTCAGAGACATGAGTGAGACCAAGGCTCTCAAAAACGTCATTGTCCTCGGTTTCGCCTTCATGTTCATATTCACCGCATTTATCTCACTACAGGGACTACAGAGCACCATGAACTGGGAAGGGGGAGTAGGAGTTGTCTCCCTTAGTAGCATGTATCTCACCACCATTCTATCGTGTATTGTCGCGCCATTTATCATTAAAAAGCTAACGACAAAATGGACAATGGTCATGTCCTTCATATTCTTCACAGGATATTTTGCTGGAAATTTCCATCCCGAACATTACATGTTGCTCCCTTTAGGAGTTGTGCTCGGATTTTTAGCCGGTCCAATGTGGAGTGCACAAGCAACTTCAATAACCACTATTGCTCTTGCGTACGCTGAACATTCCCATATTCAGGACCAAGATATAGTGATAAACAAATTTATGGGAATATTTTGTGGACTGTACAGGACTAGCAATATCTGGGGAAATCTTATAACTACGCTAGTCCTGTCACAGAACAAGACTTTCTCCAATACATTTCAGTATTACAACACGTCAACAAACTTCACTTGCGGTTCCACCTATTGCCTGATTGAGGAAGGAATGGAGGACCAGGCCCGTTACTCTGCTGACACAATTACGATAATCCCAGAGAGTACCCGGATAATGTTGTTGAGTATATATCTAGGGTGTGGTGTAATGGGTGTGGCCATTCTCATCTCGTTGATGGACCAATGTGACCAGAACAAGGACAATAGCGAGAATTTGTCATCCAAAGAATTATGTTTGGCTACCTTGGACATGTTGAGGGACTCCAGGTGTCAGCTGCTCGCCCTCATGGTTGTCTTCGTTGGTCTAGAACAGGGCTTCATGTTTGGCGACTTCACCAAGGTCAGTGATATACATAGTTACTTAAGGTTATCTGCATCGGAAAAGGGGTTACCAATTATGAAATAATATTGTACGCAGGACATACATGTCATCAGCACCTTGCAGTTATAACAGATAGAGAAGAGGGGATCAATTAATCATACTGTCTCTTACGGTTGTTTAATTCTGCTAGGACTCGTCTGAACATCAAATACATACAGTATGTATAATCTGAAGTCGGGTTTGTGTCCATGAGTTTTCACAATATCTTGCCTAATAGTATTTAAGTATTATAGGATTTAGAAGGTTTATGTTTTGACGTAAAATCTTCTAAAAAATGTTCTAATTCATAAGCAATGCCAGACGTACATTTTACCAGATCATGGCTAAGGCTCTGCCGGACTTGTTTGGACACCAAGTACTCTTCACCAGCTCTTTGAAATTGTTGAAATGGTGCTAGTCCACAGTTGAGTGCGTTAACTGAGAAAGTGAAAGATGAACCCAACAGTATCAAATGCAATACACACATTATCTTTAAAAGTTCTCTTTGATATGTAAATTTACAACATTTTGACAATATTTGTGAAAAAAAGTCTTCAACATCACCAAAATATGTCCAAATTAGGTTATGTCCAAGAAATTATTTTGAGTACAAATGTATACCTAATAAATCTGAAACACATGGAAACAAAGAGGGTATCGGCAGTATTCTGTTGATGCAATAGATGCGGGGTTTTCCCTGAATCGTGCAACTAAAAATGGATCATGTCAGTCTAATCTAACGAGAAAGTCACAACAAATTGATGAATAGGAAAACGGAAAAATGGAGCGAGAAAGTGAAATGTTTTCGTTATTTTAATGAAAAATAAGAAATCATCTTGTATTTTTCAGGGGCGAATGCGTTTCAGTTTTAAGCGGGCAGTAGCTGGTCTTTGTTAAGTTTCCGGTATTCATGGCAGTATTATCATGTTAATTAAGTTAAATTAGAAAAAATGCTTTAAATGATACAGCCCATTTGAGCATAAGTTTCGCATGTGATGCAAATAAACAATCCCGCTTAGTCGTTTATGAATAGGAGCTATTTGTAGAGAAAAGTTGACAGACAACAGATACAGCAGTATGGTATAAACTCACATATCCTTTGGATTAAAAGACAAAGTTATCAAAGCGTGACTATTACCTAGCAGATCGCCCTTCTTTCATTATGACATTGATAATATATTCTCTCTCTCCGTTAAAAAGACAAAGTTATCAAAGCGTGACTATTACCTAGCAGATCCTACTTCTTTTACAATGAAATATAAAATCTTGATATCTGAAATTGAACTGATGTAAAAATAGTTGGTTATTGTCAGAACAAAGTGGAAAGCAGTCTTTGTTATCAACTTATTTAAAAACAAGACGGTTTTCATATAAATCACAAAACAAACATATCTTATAGTTTTGTTTCATTTGTGTTACTAGGACATGAACTACTAACCTAATAATCCCAGCATCCATTTTGCCCATTGACTAATATTAGATGCAGTAGCTACATCAAAAATAAGGTTTAAAGTCTTTATTGCGCTCAGTGATCAAACAAAAGCCTAAAAATACAACTTCAGAACTATCAGAAGCCACATCAAAAGAAAGTTTCTTTCGCTGTTTTCAATTTTCGAACTTGTGAGTTCACATAGACTAGAGAAAAATGTAACTGAAGGCATGCATATCTGGTACAATAGATTAACGTATACTTACACGGAATAATGTACAGATGGATATTAAACAAGCCGATATTTTAAAGACATATTAATGAGAACTGCTTTGATACTTAAATTTAGGTAGTTGTCAATATCAACGAGGGGTTAATCCAGCTATTTAGTTCTTATACGACACATCGTGGAAATTGCATGAATGTTAGACTGGTGTATTTCTTACAATGAGGTATATAGAGACTAGAAATATATGGGATTCTAATAATGTATGATACATGTTACTACTTGATTGTATAATACGTTTGTAACGTGTTGTGTGTGCCTGTAACCTGTTATGATGACGAAACAGCTTGATGAGACTCGTCATTATACTAATGTTATATATTTTAGTTTACAGGATATTTCAGAATCAGTAATATCTGTAAAGGACCTAAGAAGTAATAGGTTTGAGGACGCATTGCGTAAATATATTCTAGTTAGCAAAATGCCTTTAATTATAGTTTCAAGTCATTACTAGATTTAGATAATCAATTGTATAAGCAACATAACGTGTGTTTCTGAAATAATTTCGACAAATCTCAGCGAAATGGTAATGCTGTTTTAATGCCAGACATTTAACATATAGAGGTAACCTGTAGAAGAGATGAATCACAACGGAAGTAAAACGCGGAAGTAAGCAGTACAGGATAATATTGAGCGGATGTAAACCAGAATATCATCTAAATCAGAAATGAGGCATTGTTCATAACGCCAAGTTACCTCTAATCATCTGTAATTAATACAGCAGCTTTGGGGTTTTCCTGTCGGAAGTCGTTTCAAGATTTCTTCAGAATTCTGAATGACGTACGCAGTGATCACTTTGAAGAGCCTTGTTACGTGTTTTAAAAGAAAGAACAATAACTGTATGGTGATTATAGGAAAATCATTTGTCATTAGTGAAAGTGATTTTATTACAATTTAAAAGTACTGCCTACGATAAGAAGGTTATTAAAGAAGAAAATGAGGCAATTTTATAATGTTATCGTATGTTCGTTGACGTCAATGCACACCATTATCACAAAAAGATTCCGTCCTCGGTGAATGTGCTATTGCTTACGATAAGTAACTATTGAATGTTTTGATAGATGTCGTTATGCTATCGTTTTCAGCCTTAAATGGAAAGTACCGGTCTGATTGGCCATAACAAAAAGTAATATCTTCATTGGCTTCATACAAGGGTATGAAAGTGTGAAAGATAACAGTCTCAAGTCGATCAAGTCCATGCATTATTTCCAGACATTATTAGATTATTTTTTATAGGGAGTTGATATAGTTTTTTAAAAAATCTAAAACTACCATTGTAACATCAAGACATTCTTCCTAATTCAGTTTAATGCAAACTGTAAAATAAAGTTGAGATAGTAATCGTGAATGAAACATGCTGGGCTTTTTGTTTGTTAATCCCTTGAGTTCCGGAATGATTTCGATCACACTAGGTTTCTGGTAGATGAAGTAAAGATGAAATATTCAGTTAATTGTCTGTACTGACGTTACTCCATAAACTTTAAAGCACTCGAACAGTGTTATGACTTAATTCTGTGTAGTGCACGCTCACCAGCTCGAGGCTGTGAATTGGCTACAGAATCTACCTACAGCAGCTCGTCATTTTAAGTATTATATTAATAAACGTAAATAGCAACACATGTACATCAATGTATGCGGGACACATATATCACGTACTTAAAAATAAACGATGATATATTTTAGTATTACATCATCTTAAACAATCATGGTTTTGACGTGCAGGTGTTCATCATGCACTGTACTTTACAAGAAAACTGTTTATTATTTATAGAAGCTTTCAGGGATCTTGCTTCATGTAGGACAAACCTAGGGCGTCTTTCTGTTTCCTCAATCGATTTACACGTGTTTATCGCTTTCCATTTATGTTAACATAAAATTATTAGATAAATATCAATTCTCCTAAATTGGGAAGTTTAATGAAGATAAAGAAAAAGTTCAGTGCTCGCCATCATGTTTTAGAAAAGATTTGATATAGAATGAGGTATGTTTGAGATCGGTCAGTACGCCCGACTGTGCCGTTGTTGGTTACATTGTTTTCATTTGAGAACCTGAAATGTTTTGTATTGACCGAGACTTACGGGTGTATTAATGAAGTAGAAGATGCTTACCTTCCGGAACACCTCATCTTATCATCTTTTTAATTTACAATGATTTGTGTGTAAAGTTTCCCAGTGTTGCCTTTATTTGATGGAATTTTAGTTTAGTTGGTGACTTTTTAACATGTCTGTATACCACTGCTCCTCGTGTATATTACATTACTATTATAGTGCAAGATATTAAACAAAAACTCGGACTAAGTACTCCTAATACCTTGTTCTGCTGATGTTAGACAAACGGTACCAGTTGAGTAGTTTGTTAAGCGTTGTTGAGGTTTGATTTGTTGATAGGATTTTCTGCTATACCATGCATTTTGTTTAAATATAAAGGAGAGCAATGTAGCAGGCTTTGCCTTTATAACTATCCCTAAAGCTTGATCAGACTGCTTGGAGGCCCTATTAGAGTTTTTCATTTCTCATTAAAGATGACTGAAACACGTAAGTGGCGTAAAGCTTTACCCTGACATCATTCATCTGACATATGTCAAAATTACATTAATAAGTTTCGGATTCAAAACATGGGTTCACTTGCTACCTGTTAGTTACCAAATGACGAGAAAGATACATGAAGTACATGACATTGTGTCTCAAATGGTTTCTTTAAAATTGCATAGTTGTCAGGAATCTGGATCAACCTTTGCTGCTGAAACCCGGAGATGAAACCTGCTATTAGTCGTGTTGCCTATCTGCGTGTGCTACCGATCACCACGCCTTCTGGTGGCCAGTCTTTCGGATCTGACACTAATGGTTCGATGTCGTTTATAATTTTCATCAGAAGGAAGCTTTCATTGGCATTTAGGCAACTCAGCCGATACCTGGCCAAACTACTATATCATTTGACCCACTTCCCTGACGCAATTAGTGTTTTCTCTGCAATGTAGACCAGGCCATCACATCACATTTACAAGTCTTTTTAATGCTTTGTAACCTTTCTAGTTTTCCACTTGACACTTATTTTTCCATTAGGATCCATGTGTTGCCTGTAGATTAAGGTGTATGTCCGAATACGTAACAGTATAAATCAAAACTGGCAATGTTTCTTTTGTAAAAGTTTCTAATCATGGAAAGGTTACATCATTAATTTCCTTTTTTTATTCATTTATCATCAACAGAAGAAAATTAGTGACGAATAAGAGGATGATAATTATCTCGCCTTTTACCGAAGCGT